GGGACACCATCAAAACATGACCGGGACACCGTCACAACACGACCGGGGCACCATCAAAACATGACCGGGACACCATCACAACATGACCGGGACACCATCACATGACCGGGACACCATTAAAACATGACCGGGACACCATCACAACATGACCGGGACACCATCAAAACATGACCGGGACACCATCAAAACAGGACCGGGACACCATCACAACATGACTGGGACACAATCAAAACATGACCGGGACACCAGCATCACATGACCCGGACGCCATCAAAACATGACCGGGACACCATCCGCCCACCAGCTCTAACGGTGACCCGACGGCGCCCGTCCGCCTATTAGTTTTGCAAGACCCCATAGCATGGCTATTGGGGAAAAAAAAGTAAAACTGCTAGCAAGCGCAAGGAAGAAATTGAGTTCGAGGAAGTGTCTCTGGGTTAGACAGGCGTGTTGTAGGGTTAGAAAAGGAGGTTTGTGGGTTGAAAAGGGTCCTTGGAGGCAAACCTAGGAAGTTTGAGCGCAAGATGAGTAGCTTGAAAGCACTTCCATGAACGCGCAGTCGGCATCAAGGAAGGAGTCCTTTAGTAGGGTGCCATTTATGAGCATACCGCCCATTTCTTGGTAGATGAGATACTGCACTGAAGCAACACGAAAGGACTTACAAAAATGTTCCTTTATTGAGTGCACGTTTGTTGCTAAAAGGCACCTTCTAGCTAGACTTAACACCTGCTGGCTTGCGGGGTTCCTGGTTTCTACATGGTGCTAAATTGATCTATTCGAATGGGGATGAGCCCTAGAGGTCCATATTGTACGTCCCCCGAAACTTAGATCCTCTCAAGTTTCCGCTGCACACAAATGGTTCTCTTTCAAGCATCTGAACTCCCAAGGAGACCTGAACATTGCAGAGCCTCTCCACTTCCATGGCCACAAGTTGCATAAGTCATGCTGTTTGCATCCGTAAAGGCTCACGTCTGATGAAGTCAAACAACCAGTCTCTCTGGTCATTGAACAGCTTGATCGCACCAAACTCATAAGGAAATATCCACACCTGACTATCCAAGATGAGCGCAGGCAAGTCTGCCTTTTCACCTAACCATTGCTTCAAGCCATTGTTGAAGCTTTCAGCAAGATTCTTTCTCCAGCGCTGAACAGTGACCTTTCTCCACTCGTCATCTACATGCTGGGGGAGGTCTCTGTTGCTTGACT